AGAAAGAAAGAAAGAAAGAAAGAAAGAAAGAAAGAAAGAAAGAAAGAAAGAAAGAAAGAAAGAAAGAAAGAAAGAAAGAAAAAAAGAGAAACAAAACAAAACAATTATAATCCTTCTGTCAGCTGGGTATGATGGCCCACACCTTTAATCTCAGCACTCTAGAGGCACAGGCAGGTGAATCTCCTCTGTGAGTTAGAGGCCAGCTTGATCGACAAAGGGAGTTCCAGGACAGTCAGGACTATGTAGAGACCCTGTCTCAAAATAAATAAAACTTCATGGCCAGGCCTAGGGACCTACGCCTGTAATCCCAGCATCCAGGAGGCTGAGGCAGGAGGATTGTGAGATGTCTGAGTGGGCTACATACATAGTAGCCTCAACAAAAGAAGAAATCTGCTCTTTTTCTCAGAAGTTATTTAGATTTTTAAATAAAACATTTTTCAAGCATTTTTGTTGCCTTGATAATAATTCAGTAAAATTTTAAAGAGAACAATTTGTGAACATTATATTTCTTATTAATAATTCACTTACATTATACTTAATTTGCTTTGTTTTAGTTCTAGGGTTTAAGTAGGACTTTATACGTGTTAGGCAAACACTCTGCCACTGAGCTACATGGGGAGCCCTCTTTGAAAAATAATGTATTATTGTTAGGCATGCCACTGTATACAGGTGGAGGTCAGAGGACAATTTTATGGGGTTGTTTTTCTCCTTCCACTTTGTGTGGGCTAATGTGATTGGACTCAGATCATCAGCCTTGCACAACAAGCACTGTACCCACTGAGCTATCTTGCTGGCCCCTTTTTAATTTGGGGGTGGTTAGGGAGGCATTTGAGAATACTTGCAGGAATATCCATGGTCTGGCGCAGGTATCCATAGATAATTTTAAAAATTAGTGTGTTTATTATTTTTATCTTTTCCAGTACACCTACAGTCACTTTAATACTTACTTTGTTCCCTAATTTGCTTTCAGCCAACTAAACTTGGTTTCCAAAATTATTCTTGATAAGTTTGTCAATCTCAATTTGATTTGGGTCTGGTCAGAAGTTTTTGCTCCATACTTCTGTTTGTAGTTTGCTGTGTTTTTCTGTTTGGTTGGTTTAGGGTTTGGGGGTCAAAGTTTCATGTAGACCTGCCTAAAACATACTGTATAGCCAAAGTTGGCCATAAACTTGTCATCCTCCTGCTTCCAACTCCCGAGTGCCTAGATGATGGGTATGCACCACCACACCCAGCTTCACTCTGTGTTTATCAGTGTTTTTGTTGTTGTTAAGACAGAGTCTTCTTATACCAGGCTGGCTTTGAACTTATGATCCTCTTGCCTCAGTTGTTAGCATTCAAGCATCTGTACTGGCCTGCCCTTAGGGTCCTGACAGGATAGACCTCAGCTGTGGCCACTAAGAGCACCTCCTGTGTGCATTTGCTACCTTTCATTATAAAAGGCGGGCCTTGTCCCCCTCCCGTCTCTTTCTCTTCACTCTCGTCCCCAGGGACCAGTCTCTGCCCTCCCCTCAATACACCTCCTAAATGGGTCCTGTTGCCTAGTGTGACTCCTTTGTGCTCTTTTTAAAATAGAACATCAGTCTCCCTGGTGTTATGATTGTAGTTATGTACCACCTCATCTGGCTATCAGTTTTGGTAATTTGGATATTTATTAAAACATTACTAAGCCGGGCAGTGGTGGCGCACGCCTGTAATCCCAGCACTCCAGAGGCAGAGGCAGGCGGATCTCTGTGAGTTCCAGACCAGCCTGGTCTACAGAGCTAGTCCAGGACAGGCTCCAAAGCTACGGAGAAACCCTGTCTCGAGAAAAAAA